TCACATGAACTCAAACAGCAAAATAGTAGGCAATTCCTCCCCAGATAAAACAAAAGAGTTTCCCCTAAAGAAAGACTCTGAGGAGTGTTAGGACTCTAAAAGAGAGCTTTGCAAGATCCCTCCTGAATGGTAGGTATATTTCCCAGGTAAATTAGTTGTGGTCCCTTAAAAAAGGGGGACAGTTTTGCAGACATTGCTGGGTAGCCTGAGGTTCTCACCCATATGGGTGAGGTGTTCCGGGGGAAGTTTGGCAAGAGAGCTGATTTGATAAGTCAGTATTAGGGACCCAAAATTTCGTCGGTTCAAAGAGTTTTGGGTTGGAAGAACTTCCAAGCCCTGATTACCAGGACTTTGAGGCACTTGGGTTAAACCCCAGAGGACAAGAGTCCAGAAAGGAAGAAGAAACAGTCAGCTGCTGGTAGTGAGAGTGACCTGGACACTTGTGTGAATGGAGCTTGGGATTAAGCCACAGTGGCTGAACTGTGGAAATCTCATTGGGACCCTTGAAGCCAAACCAGAAACCCCAAAACCACAGAGTGGGGCTGGGATGGTGGTGGTGCGCCTTTAACTAGTTTGGCAATTTTTAACCAGAGTATGAACGATTTCGTAATCTTTGCGGAAGACAAGCGTTGCTGTTTTTTCAGTTTGCCCGTTTTGTCCTTTTGAAAATAAAAAGACTGTTAGCTTTTATCAACACAGCTGGCTAACATTCCCAGGCTACCTCATGTCAAAAATAAATAAATATACATTTTATTTATTACAATATCAACAATTCTATTGATTCTCCCACAATGAGAGAAAAGCAAAGAGAAAAGTTCAGGCACTTTAGGGAAAACTTGCTTACTGGTTGCTCGTGAAACTATCTGCTCCAGTTGTAAATTGAGATGCCCATCTAAATTTACCTCTCGCTGAAGTGCAATCTGCACTCGGACTGCTTTTCAGAGACTACGAGGAGGCGATGTGACATCTCATGATTTGTTTTACCCCATTTTTGGGGTAAAACAGCATCACAGCCGTGGCATGTTAACTCCATTTTCTGCCTATTGCAGCTTAACTACTTGCACTCCTAAGGATTTACCCCCTTTAATGACCAGGCCTCTTTTTGCTACTCGGCGCTACACTAATTCAGCTAATAATTGCGCGGTTATGCAATGCTGCACCCAAACGAAATTTACGTCTTTTTTTCCACACAAATAGAGCTCTCTTTCGGTGGTATTTGATCACCTGTGCGCTTTTTATTTTTCACGCTATAAACAAAAAAAGACCGAAAATTTTGAAGAAAAACAATATTTTTTTACTTTCAGCTATAAAAAATAAATATATAGTAAACTCAAAGTTAGTTATTATAGCAAAATGTATTCTGCTACATGTTTTTGGTTAAAAAAAATCCCAGTAAGTGTATATTTATTACTTTATGTGAACGTTATAGCGTCTACAAACTATAGGATAGATAATGGAATTTACACAGCTTTTACTTTCTGACTGCCCATCACATTTCTTGAGGTGCTAAAATGCCAGGATAGTACAAACACCCCCAAATGACCCCTTTTTGGAAAGTAGACACCCTAAGCTATCTGCTGAGAGGTATATTGAGTCCATGGAAGATTTATTTTTTTCCACAAGTTTTTGGAAAATGGACACTTTTTTTTTTTTTTTTTTTTACACAAAAGTTGTCATTGAAATGATTTATTCCTTGCACAAGCCATGGGTATATGTGGAAGTACACCCCGCTACTTCTACCGAGTATAGGGATACCACATGCGAGACTTTTTGGGAGCCTAGCCACATACAGGAGCCTGAAATCCAATGACCACTTTCAAAGCCTGAAGGTGTGTAACTTCCTAATTTCACTTCCTCAATACCTATCACAGTTTTGAAGGCCCCGACATGCCAGGATAGCACCAAACCCCCCCAAATGACCCCCTTCTGGAAAGTAGATACCCCAAGGAATTTTAAAAAGAGGCACGGTGAGTATTTTGCAGATCTCATTTTTTCTCACAAGGTTTTGAAATATAAAAAAAGAATAGAAAAAATATATTTTCTTTCTTAATTTTCCAAAAACATGTGGCAACAAATGAGATCTGCAAAATACTTGCCATACTTATCAAATTCCTTGGGGTGTCTAATTTACAAAAAGAGGTTATTTGGGGGGGGGGGGGGGGGGGGGGGGGGGGGGGGGGGGGGGGGGGGGGGGGGAGGGGTTAGCCAGCCAGAAAAATAAATCAAGGACTCAACGCAGATGTTTTGGTGGGGAGTATAGACATCTGCAAATTTTTGGGTAAGGTGATTTGCGAGGGGCTGAATTTTGTGGAGCCAATCAAATTCAGGGTCACCCCGAGGATGACAGAGTGTATTGTCGTTGAAGTGCATAAAACACATTATACGCTCATATCTATGCCTGGCCATGGCAGCAGAGAACACGGCATATGATGAATCGGGTCTGTGGATCAATACAACCGAAATTCATTTCTTTTAGTAATGCCCATGTTGAGGGTTAGCCCCCCCCCCCCCAAAAAAAAAAAAAAAAAAAAGTAAATTCGGAAACTGTAATGAGTTTCCATGCGACTGGTCTGGCAAGGTTTGAATTTGGGTCGGCGGCAATAAATTGTTGTGCATATAAAATTGCTTTGAGCCACAATCAACGCATACAGATATTCTGGGAAAAACAGCTCCAAAAATCAAGGAGGTATATGACAGACCAAGATGTTCTAGACCGCTGGTACTCACCAGTTCACCAAAAGGTGGCACGACACTGGTAACGGCACCCTGCTGCATATGAGAGTCATCAAAATTTACCGGCAAGTGCTAACAGAGATCTGGCCTGATTCTGCGAACACTGCGGTTTTGTGTGCAATGTATCAAGTGACAGTGACCTACTGACACTGCACTTGCTGGGGGAGGGGGGGGGGCTATACGCAGGTGCTGACAGGTGCCGGGGCTGATCCCGCTAACGCCGCGTTTTTGGGGACACTATACTAATGTGAATGTTGGTATAGTGCTGATCTGATCAAAGATATTGATCTGTTCAGACACTATACTAGCAATGGAGGTTTATTGTGCATGAGCGTGTTCCTGGCAATCAAGGGGTTAAATATGATGTATTGGTGTACTGATGGGCAATCTGACGCTATCTGGGAAGGGGCGTGAAAACCACAGGAGAGCAAATCATGTATGTATGTATGTATGTAATATACACATACACACATATACATGTGTGTGTGAGATTTTGCGCACCCAACACATTGCTGCGTTACTTTAACTGACAAAATGCGCGGTCATGCAACACTGCACCCAAATTAAATTTACATCCTTTTTTTCCCACAAATTGAGCTTTCGATGGTATTTGATCGCTTGTGCGGTTTTTATTTTTTGCGCTTAAAAAAAAAAACCTGACAATTTTGAGAAAAAAAAAAATTTGGACTTTTTGCTATATAAAAAATTAAAAATCAAAATTTCATCATAAATTTTGGCCAAATTGTATGCTGCGACATCTTTGCTAAAAAAAAAATCCCAATACGTGTAAATTAATTAGTTTATGTGAACGCTATAGCGTCTACAAATGGCGGGAAAGATACTGGGATTTTTTTTTTTTTATACTAATAATGGCGGCGATCAGTGATTTATTACAGTGATCAGCGACTTATGGCGGGACTGCGGCGGACATTTTGACACTGTGGGGGGGGGGGGGGGAACTGACTTGGGGTCACTGACATCCCCAGTGACACCAATACAGTGATTAGTGCAAAAAAAAAAAAAAAAAAAAAAAAAACAAAAACACTGACACTGTACTAATGGCACTGGGGAGGAAGGGGTTAACTTTTTTAGGCAATGAAAGGGTTAACTGTGTGAGGGGAGTGTTTTACTAGGGGGCGGGGGGGGGGGGGTGTACTTCACAGGAACAGCTGATCCTGAGAGATAAACTCCTCTCTCAGGATCAGCATGTTAGGAGCTGACAGGGAGCAGACCTGCAGTGTAAACAATGCAGCTGTGCTCTGTGTCACTGTTTTCTGGCAATCATCACCGAGACCAGGCGGGTAATGACCGGCCAGGACCCGATGATTGACACCTGCTGCCGCGATAGGCAGGACAGGTAGGGTAGGGCGCGCGCGCCTCGTGCGCGCCCCCCTACCTGTTTTGCAAAATGATATTTTAAAACGTGATTTTGGCCAGCGGTGCCACCTTGTGGCCGTTTTTTCTACAGTGGCTGGACAGCAAGCAGTTAAGGAGGAGGGAACAAAAAAAACGCAGTTCAACCGCGCATTTTTACCATACCGAACATACCATACCACCCCCCACCCCCCAAAATTACAAGTCTAATTAACCACTAAATGTGAAGGCTGCAGTTTGTAACCTTTACTTTCACCCAGTGAAAGCCAGTTAACACACACTGTCTTAGTGTGGCTCCACTTAACAGGAGGAGCAACAGAGACACTCATGGACAGCAGCACTGTCAATCTGAAGAGAAGGTAGTTTTAAGATGGACTTTATTAACGAAATAAACCCCAGCTCCAGCGAATACTTAAAGCAGTTACAGCAATAGTTTTTTTCCACAGTTGGGATAAAGGTGTTATATAAATGAATAAAAGGGGACTATTGTAAGAACTGCTGCCGGTGGCAAATGGTGTGTCTCTTCCCACTAACTGCCACTTTTGCTGGACAGCTTGGCCTATTATAGGAAGCTGAAAAATAATAGACTTACTAGCCAGATCAACAGGTGTAAAGGAAACATACATACAAAAAATATATTTGTGCAAAAAAAAATAAATAAATAAAAATCCATAGTATGCACATAAAAGAGTGCCACTATCTTACCATGTCAAAATGTAGATTTGTTTTTGTGACTGCCAATAACACTGAATTTTCTATTAATAAAAACCAAGCTGAAAATGCCATTGGTTCAATTCCATTAATGGAATATTCTAAGGTCAATAGCACATATTATAAAGCGTTCTATATCTGGAATTTCTCTATTAAAATATACAACCAGACTGTATGCTTACCTGTCTACAACTTCTCCTTTCCTCTCTCTTGCAATCATATCCAACAACGTCTGTCGCAGGTGATCTCTTATGCAGCCATATCGAACAACTTGATCACGAAAAATTATCAAGCCCAAGTTATAAACATTTTCAACATTATTTTGCTGAACATAGACTCTATCCTGAAAAAGTGGTAAGAAATAAAGAATGTCAAAAGTAAATCTAAATAGGCCTCCAGTTTTTTTGTAGTTGAACTGATGCAAGACACACTTGGATAAATATGCTATAGTTTAACAATGGTAATGGTAAAGGGGGGGGGGGGGGGAGCAAAAATTAAAGCAAAATTACTCTAGAAATGGATATTTATTGAAAAAAAAATAGGGCCGCTTCACACCATAGAAACGCAGTCTGGATGCGTTTCTGCATGTGGGTTTGGCGTTTTGGTGCGTTCCAGATGCCTTTTTTGGTCATTTGAGGACCAGTGCATTTTTTATATGTTCCAGTCCATTGAGGTGTGTTCTGGAGCATTTTTTTTTTTATGCGTCCCAGCACAGTTCTGTGCCATAAAAATGCAGCATGTTCTACTTTTTTTTCTCTGGAACTGGAATGCACTGGAACTGCAAGCACTGGTGTGAACCATGCCACTGACAACTACGTAGCCTACTCTGTGCATTTTGGAACCAGAAATGTTTTTTTTACTGGAAAGCATGTAGTGTGACCCAGCACTTATTCATATCTATTTTGTAAGAAGATTGCATTATTGCATTATGGATTTTCCAACTCAACCAGGGGCTTATAACACCTGAAAAACTCATCTGCCCTAAACAATGCCACACTGTTTCACCAAGTGCTCCATTTGTTCCAGCCAGTTGTGCAATAATGTAGATGCTCAACTTCTCGAGATGTCACCAGTGCCAACTGGCTCTACATTGTAGAGCACAAGAGATTAGGATTCCTTATAAGAACAGGCCCTTCTGAATGAAGTTATGGCATTTATCTTCCCATGCTTCCACACTGGATTTAGTGGACCACCTGCATGGTATTCACCCATCTACTATACCACCCATGATGGGCTAAATGGTCTTTTGGGTCATTCAGCAGCTGCAAATATCCACCACTGCAGTCATGCATAAATATTCACAATGTTACAAAGATGAAAGACACTCACCATATACATAAGAATGTCTCTAATCATAACCATGGCTGTCTGGTGGTCATTCCATGCCTGGTTAAGCGTTTGTAAGAAATTGTTATTTAAAGAATTTAACACATCTTCTCGGACCTGCAAAAACCACAAAAGTTAAAATTTGTCAAAAAAAAAAAACCAAACAAACATGTTGATAAAATAATTGCAAATGATAAAGCAAGAAAAATTAAATCAGAACAATCCTATACAATGTGGAAACATTATTATATCTAGTTATGCATTTGTTAAAACAGAAAAATTGCCTGAACCAGTCATTCACTATACAGTAGCACTCAGGAGAGGAAGGGATAGCATTGTGAGCAACTCACACGGTACTGCCAAAGGCAGCATCAAAATGCTTATGGAAGGGGGGAGAGCATATAGGCGATTTCAAATTGCCAATTTGTAAATTCTTTTTCTGGAGTGGGTCATTGTCCAAGCCTTATTGTTTAACTGCTGGGTAACCTGCAAAGATGTCCAGGTCCTGGCTTTGCGATCTTACATTGGTGTTTGGATAACAAGACTGGCTAAACAAAATGAAAAATTGTTTGGCAAGAAAAATGCTTTAAAAAGGTTTGTAAATTGTATTTAGTGGTCTTCCTGGAAAAGTTATTTTATATGAGGACCACTAGAAATGTACTCCTGTGAATAACATATGTATTGAATCATGTACAGGCACCTAGAGCGCGCACAACTATGCTTGCTCACTTGCTATGGCAAGTTTGTTAGCAATAGCGATTATTAAAGTAAGGGACTGCCTAAACTGAGCCAATGTTTTGTCCAAGCAGGACAGAGCAACAGATTTATTTTAACTTGGCCCTCCCCAACAGCAGATATTCCTCTTCCTTTCAAGCCTTTAGCTGCACAGGGAAAAAAAAAAAAAAAAAAAAAAAACGAAACTGAGGCAGGTAATATTCTTAATGCGAGATCAGCCGAGCTCTGTCCTATTATCCGTGCCATAGACATGAGCTGAGAGTTACCAAATAGTGTCTTACTGAAGCAACAACTTCATGCCTACGGCAGATGCTTCCTGGCAACCCTGGTGATCTAAATTCACAGCCAAGAGCCAATCTGCCTGCAGAGTATGCCTCTTCTATATTTAGTGAAAGACATAAGCTCAAGTGAGCCAAGCATACACGGGGAGGACAGTCAGGACAGAAGTCATGCTCCCACACAGTCAAATCATGAACACACAATTTAATTTTATAACACACACACTGCATCCAGAAAGTATTCACAGCGCTTAACTTTTGCCACATTTTGTTATGTTACAGCCTTATTCCAAAATGGATTAAATTAATTTTTCTCCCTCAACATTCTTCAAACAATACCCCATAATGACAATGTGAAAGAAGTCAGTTTTGAAATCTTTGCAATTTATTAGAAAAAAAAAAAAAAAAACATGTACATAAATATTCACAGCCTTTGCCATGACACTCAAAATTGAGCTTTGGTGTATCTTGTTCCCACTGATCATCCTTGAGCTGTTTCCACAAATTGATTGGAGTCCACCTGTGGGAAATTCAGTTGAATAGGAAAGGCATAAACCTGTCTATAAAAGGTCCCACAGTTAACAGTGCATGTCAGAGCACAAACCAAGCCATGAAGTCCAAGGAATTGTCCGTAGACCTGTGAGACAGGATTATATCAAGGCACAGATCTGGGGAAGGGTACAGAAAAATTTCTGCAGCATTGAAGGTGCCAATGAGCACAGGGTCATCATCCGTAAATAGAAGAAATTCGGATCCACCAGGAATCTTTCTAGAGTGGGCCACCTGGCCAAAATGACCGATCAAGGGAGAAGGGCTTTAGCCAAGGAAGTAACCAAGCACCTGATGGTCACTCTGAAAGAGCTCCAGCATTTCTCTGTGGAGAGAGGAGAACCTTCCAGAAGAACCACCATCTCTGCAGCACTACACCAATCAGGCTTGTATGGTAGAGTGGCCAGACGGAAGCCACTCCTCAGTAAAAGGCAAATGGCAGCCCACCTGGAGTTTGCCAAAAGGAACCTGATGGACTCTCAGACCATGAGAAACAAAACTGTCTGGTCTGATGAAACAAAGATTGAACTCTTTGGCCTGAATGCCATGCGTCATGTCTGGCGGAAACCAGGCACCGCTCACCACCTGGCCAATACCATCCCTACAGTGAAGCATGGTGGTGGCAACAGCATGCTGTGGGGATGTTTTTCAGCAGCAAGAACTGGGAGGCTAGTCAGGAATGAAGGAAAAATGAATGCAGCAATGCACAGAGACATCCTTGATGAAAACCTGTTACAGATCGCTCTGGACCTTAGACTGGGGCAACGGTTCATTTTTTCAACAGGACAACAACCCAAAGCACACAGCCCACATAACAAAAGGAGAGGCTACGGGCCAACAACTCTGTGAATGTCCTGGAGTGGCCCAGACTTCAACCCGATTGAACATCTCTGGAGAGATCTGAAAATGGCTCTGCACCGACGCTCCCCATCCAACCTGATGGAGCTTGAGAGGTACTGCAAAGAAGAATGGGAGAAACTGCCCAAAAACAGGTGCGCCAAGCTTGTAGCATCATACTCAAAACGACTCGAGGCTGTAATTGGTGCAAAGGTGCTTCAACAAAGTATTGAGCAAAGGCTGTGAACACTTACGTACATGTTTTTACTTCTGGTTTTTATTTTAAATACATTGCAAATATTTCAAAATGAACTTATTTCACGTTGTCATTATGGAGTATTGTTTGTACAATGTTGAAGGGAAAAAAATGAATTTAATCCATTTTGGAATAAGGCTGTAACATAACAATGTTGCAAAAGTAAAGCGATGTGAATACTTTCTGGATGCACAGTATACGACTTGCACATTTATCTCGAAAAAACAGTACAGGATAGGTATTCCTAGACCATGAGTTATATGCTGCTTCTGTCAGTTGATTGAACAGTGACTAATACATCTCCTAGAACCACCTAGACCTAGAGCATAGTGAGGCTCCATTTTTTTTTTTCCCCCGAAGCAAAAAGGAGGGATCAACACACAGAGGACCTATGTCTTGTACAGTACTCTAAGATAAGGAATTTACAGGCAAGTCAAAATTCCTATTATCTTAAAAAGTAGACGTTCACCTTCTAAAAATAAATGCCCATTTTTTGCCGATGCAAAAAAAAAAAAATTTTTTTTTAAAAATGTGCATTTACTATTTTTTTGTTTTAGGAGCCTGGGAAGCATTGCACTAGCAATCAATAGATCAGTGATGCCATGCAGGTCTCCTGCAGGCTGTCAGTGTAATCTGTGTGCTCGTACCTTGCACAAGCAGGCAGTTTTACACCGACAGGAAGAACGAATGAACTACCACAGTGCTCCACAGCTCTGTGGTGGTTCATTAAGAACTTCAAGCCAGCAGTGACAAAGGCTGTTGGTACTCATATTTCACTGAATCACAAGGATCTGTGAATCAATGACACGGCTGTGTGGGTGGAGCCCAGCACAGCCACACTCTTTGAATTGTGGGAGTATGGGGAAAAGATCCCAGGCTCGGTGCCACAAGGGGGGAGAGGTCTGATGCTAAACATGTCACGTTACACTCTAAATATGGGTGTAACATATAACATGTTCAGAAAGGTGAACTTATCCTTTAATCATACAGTACAGGACTGTATTAACCACCTCCAGTCTGGCCGCTGTATATACACGGCCGGACGGTGGGCAGTGCAGGGTCGGGTGGCTGTTTATAAACGGCCCTCCCCACCCCCTGCTTGTGCGCGCTCCCTGGGAATGTGCAGCACCACGATCCGGTGCCCGTTGTGTCCTCCGGACACAGTGGAACACCGATCTTTGGACGGGACCTCTGTGCAAGGTCCCGATCATGTGATCACTGATTGGCCAATCAGTGATCACATGCAGAGTAGTAAACAAAAGATTTCACTTTTGACATCATTGCTTACTATGTGTGAAATCTGTGAATGATCACAGAGGTCACATGGTACAAGGCTATTCACAACAGCCTTGTACCATGTGACAAGCTGTGACCAATCACGGCTCACACAGTAGTTCTCAATGGCTGCAAGAATGCAGCCAGAAAGGAGAAATTATTGCTTTTACAGCCTTTATGGGTGTAAAAGCAAAATCAGTGTAAAAAAAATAAATAAATAAATCTTCATCACCCCCCACAAGTAGTGCAGTGTCACCATGGTAACACTGTACTGCTAGGGTGACAGTATGTAAAAAAAAAAAACAAAAACAAAAGAAATAAAAATGTAAAAAAAAAATATATATATATATATATATATATATATATATATATATATATATATATATATATATATATGTTTAAAAAAAAAAAAACTTATAATTTTTGGTTAAACTAATTTGGGTTTTTTTTTTTTTTTACACTAAAAAGATAACGGAATACATTTTGGCCAAGATTTATGATGAAAGATTATTTATTTGCAAAATTTTATAAGAAAAAACACTTTAAAAAACTTTGGACTTTTTCATTTACATAAAAAAAAAAAATAATCCCAGTGGTTAATAAATACCACCAAAATAAAGCTTTATCTGTCTCAAACACAGTCTCAAAAAAACAGTGTTGCATGACCGCGCAATTGTCAAAGTGTGATAGCACTGAAAGCTGAAAATTGGTCTGGACAGGAAGGGGGTAAAAGTATCCAGACTGGAAGTGGTTAAATCTAGTTCATGGGATGAACCCAAGCAAAAACAACTCAAACGGTCAGCACAGCAACTGAGTACTGCCAACAGGCCCAAAAGAAATAACACAAGAGATCAGGAAACCATACAAATTGAAGAACCTTGCAGCTGAACCCTGAACATTTGCCTGGTAGAACTTGGAAAACATATGAACAGAGAACCAGATGGTAGCTTTCCAAATCTGGGATACAGAAGCTGGATGTTGAAAATTCCAGGCAACACCAACAGCTTTGATGGATTGGACTGATGGGAAGAGACAGGAACTTTTTCCTTAAAAGGCTTGGGGCCTAGAATTAATTGACTGATCCACCTGACAATTGTGAGGTGGGAGGCAGGCTGTCCTTTAGGAGGACCCAAAAGGCAAGACAAAATTGAACTCAGGCATGCAAATTTAGGATGTAGCTTTCAGATAGACCCGACAGTTCTGCCCACATTCAGGCAGTGTAGGGCAATTTTCTTGTCATGTTTTGGGGCAAGAGTGTGGAGGGAGGACAATACCCTCTTGGAGGTTAAAGGAGACCACCTTAGGGAAAAAGGATGATGTTTCTGATCTCAAAACCACCTTGAAAAGGCTCTTTAGAAGGAACAGCCCCTAACACAGAAACATCTCTAACTGATGAGATAGCAACCAAGAAGGCAACTTTAACCACTTCTTCCCTCACATCTGTTCACCCCATATGGAGCAAAGCAATGTTTATAACTCTGCTATGGAGCAGTTTATTCAGTGATAACCTTGTCATTAATTAAGATAACCAAGGAATACATACATGGTTATTTTAAGGATATGGCTTTCTTTTGTGAATACTGTCTTGCATAAATGATTTTTTTTTTGCAATACTTAGAAAATATAAAACATATCAAAACGAAACAAAATGCAGTCTTTATAAATCGCGTTACTGTGGATTAAAAGTGCACATTTTATTTTGTAATTTGTCTTGTTTAAAATTACACTAAAATTATGCTTCTGGTACAAAGCATTGCAAAATTATTACAAATGAAATAAAAGTAGTTTTTTTTCAATTTTGCGCTTTAAATGTAAAACCTGTTAAATGTGTACCAATATTAAATTTTAAAAAAGTTTAAATTTTAATGGTCAATTGAAAAAAAAAAAAAAAAAAAAAAACACACATCAGGAGAAGGATAACAAATGAGTTAATTAGGGCTGATTAGAGTAAATTAAATAGTTAGAGGAACGAAAAAAAACCAATTTTTTTTTTACACTTTTTTGGTTGCAGATTAAATTTCATCCCTTTGAGCTGAAGATTAATGAACAGAATAAATGCAAAAGTAGCCATGTTGCTTTCTATTTTGAACAATGCTATTGATAATCACTGTCAGCTTGCTTTGACAAGTACAGCTGCCGAGAGCTGCTCTAAGTCCTGGTACAACCAATACGATTTGTCAGTTCAAAATCGCATCACAAAAGTCACACCCTGTGACAACAGAACCGGCAAATCGATTGTAAAAAAGTCGCAAACCTCAATGAAATTGCACGACTTGGCGGCTTTGAAATTGTAGTGCAATTTCAAAGCCGCATTGGTGTGAACAAGGCTAAAAACAGCAACTCTGATTATTCAGAGCAGAGAACTGATGTAGAAGGAATTTCCTATTAAAAACTGACCACACTACACTTGAGAGAACAGCGTGGTTGTTCTCTAGCTGTGCTGGGAACTCAGCCCACCCTCCATCAAAGTTTTGACTTGTTCGGACAGGCTTTCAATCATGGCTCAACCAGACATCTCTGCCCTTCCTGTGACAGCTTTGTGTCCCTGCATCTTGAAATGATCAGCCAAAAGGGAGAGTGGTTACAGAACCGTGAGAATTAACTGCTGGCTTTTCACAATGTAAAAATTGGCAAAACCATAAAACATTCATGCGTTAGCAAATTATGAAAATACTACTGTGTTTAAATGTGTAGAGAATTAAAAAGTTAAAGAAATGAAAATATGAACACTGTCATCATCAACTTCCTTCAAAAATGCCATCAGCCTGGCTGCCTTTGGGCACACTGCAGAGTATCATGGAGTACAGTGTGGACAACACTAATCTGTCTGGTGTGTACACCTCTACTTTTAGTGATTATTGTTAAATTAATTCACTGCCTTCTGATGTTTTTTAGTGGTCGGAGGCTGCTCCACTTACAATTAAATAAATATCCTTCTAAGAAGACTTTTAGATCTTTAAATTCCTTTTGGAAATAGAGAGTTTGCAATTATAACCTCCTATCCTTTTCCTGCAATATGTACTGGTCTCTGACAGCTTAGTTGTTCAAATCCTGATTATTGCTTAGTTTAACCATCGGCTGACAAAGGGTTCTTTGAAGACATGGTTATATCAAGGGAAAATTAATTGCTCAACATCAAAACTTTACTAAAGCACAACACACTATACGAAAATACACCTTCTGTCACCACATGTATAATTGGCAGCCCTGGTCTATTTGTCTGAAGAGAGGAGCAAGAAACAGGTATATTTTTACATCGATATTGAATGTGTTATTTCCCCATATATGCATATACCTTCAGTTATTCCACCCACTCCTCCCCCCTGAGGGCACTTCCCAAACACGCTCTGAGCCCCTACTTTCTAAAGACACATCTTGCACTACAAAATTACTATTTTAGTTCTACAACCTGCTAAGCGAGTTGTAAAGGAGTGATGTAATAGTCAATGCGTTTATAAACAAAAGGTGCACTCACAGCCAGGCAGAGTATTACTGTTTTAAAACAATCTATCAGATTATGAAGTTTGACAAAAGCAGACATTTCTTGTGCTCCCCATTTTGGTATTTTTATGAAAAAAAAAAAAAAATTCTAATACATAGAAGGCCATCAAATGTTAGTGAGCACCCACAAAAAATGTTATCTTATTATTCTAAAGAAATGTATCAAATTCTTAAAATATCTTACAGAATTTGCAGCTCCTGCAAAAGAAACAAAGCCTTTAGTCTGATTATGGCTTGGTTATTGAGCAAATCTGATATTAACCGAGTGCATTCTTTGCTGGTCTTGTGTCCAACTAGCATGAGGACCAATATGCTTGCTCATGCTGGTCTTTGGAGTAATGTTTACCTTATTTATGAGATGTTCAGTCACCACTTCTCTCAGTCCTGTATAGAGCTTCTCTCCATGCTTATGAAGCACCATGGTATATGCATTTCTATACAGTTCTTCAAAGCTCAAACCACTGTTGTTCTTGCGCTGAATTTCTTGTATTGCATTCTTTAAAAGATCCCAAATGCTGTTAACATATTTTTCATCCATAGTCATCTGTAAGTAGTGAAAAAAAAAAAAAAAAAAGAATTAAAAAAGATTAAACGAGTTTTAAAAATGTACAAATTTGAAGCAACACTTTCCCTGTTTAGGAAGCTGGACTAGTTTTTTTTTTGCTCTTCTGACTTGCCTTTTAAACCCCAAAAAATAAAATATAACACTTAAAATTTTTTACAACTACTACAACTATTATTATAAAATCAGGACCCTTCAAATTTCTATTGTCTATAGTCCTTTACAAACGCTTTGTTTGTAAAACTTATAAAAATGAAACATGGTACTGAACTAAAGTTCAGCGCACGTTACCATATGACTGTGCAATCTAGTAAAATGGACTAACTGAAACATATTGGTTAGATAGCTCCTTATATTACACAGTTTTGGTAAATCTAAAGTTCACTATACAAAGATCGTGCAGTCAGAATGCAACATCTATGGTGACCCTAAAATATAGGACTGCAATTACTCAGCTTCTAAGTATACACTCTGATTTCAAGATTTTTCCTGCAACTCTGAAACACAACAAAGTTGATCAGGATTTTCCTTATGGGTGCTAAAGTGAGCTTGTGGGCAAGCAAATGGAGATGACTGCACTAACTATCTGGGGTTGTCTCCTTATTCACAGTACATAACTACACCACACAGTACAAATAGCTGATCTAACAAAGTATTGATTATTTTAATCTTTTATGGCGAGTTGTGGTATGGTGTTTTGTGTGCTAAAATGAATGGCCCGTCAATGCACTGAGTAAGAAAGGATTAGAACCACTAACATGTTTTCAAAGCAGAACTAAACCCATCGATTTAGGCCTCGTTCACACCTTACATGCAGAAAAACTGATGGAAACTGATGTGCAGTTTTCACTTGCAGAGAGATCAGTTTACATCAATTTTCATGCACGCTTCAACAATTTTTTACACACACTATAGATTCGCGCACAGACAAAAATCTGAATGTGATACAAGTGTTATGGTGTGAACAGCACACAGAGAACAATCGATTTTGTTTGTGCCCTTGCAGAACATGTGCAGAAAAAACGGACGTCTCTGCACCATGGTGTGAACGAGCCCTTAATAGTTTTTAAAAGTTACATTCCTGACATGCTGGGAATGCTGTCATTCACTTGTGTTCTCAAACTGTCATAACTGATCACATACAGTCAGGTCCATAAATATTGGGACATGGACACAATTCTAACATTTTTGGCTCTATACACCACCACAATGGATATGAAATGAAACGAACAAGATGTGCTTTAACTGCAGACTGTCAGCTTTAATTTGAGGGTATTTACATCCAAATCAGGTGAACAGTGTTGGAATTACAACACTTTGCATATGTGCCTCCCACTTCTTAAGGGACCAAAAGTAATGGGACAGAATAATAATCATAAATCAAACTTTCACTTTTTAATACTTGGTTGCAAATCCTTTGCAGTCAATTAAAGCCTGAAGTCTGGAACGCATAGACATCACCAGATGCTGGGTTTCATCCCTGGTGATGCTCTGCCAGGCCTCTACTGCAACTGTCTTCAGTTCCTGCTTGTTCTTGGGGTATTTTCCCTTCAGTTTTGTCTTCAGCAAGTGAAATGCATGCTCAATCGGATTCAGGTCAGGTGATTGACTTGGCCATTGCAGAACATTCCACTTCTTTCCCTTAAAAAACTCTTTGGTTGCTTTTGCAGTCTGCTTTGGGTCATTGTCCATCTGCACTGTGAAGCGGGTGTCCAATGAGTTCTAAAGCATTTGGCTGAATATGAGCAGATAATATTGCCCGGAACACTTCAGAATTCATCCTGCTGCTTTTGTCAGCAGTCACATCATCAATAAATACAAGAGAAGCAGTTCCATTGGCAGCCATACATGCCCACGCCATGACACTACCACCACCATGCTTCACTGATGAGGTGGTATGCTTAGAATCATGAGCAGTTCCTTTCCTTCTCCATACTCTTCTCGCTTCCCATCACTCTGGTACAAGTTGATCTCGGTCTCATCTGTCCATAGGATGTTGTTCCAGAACTGTGAAGGCTTTTTTAGATGTCATTTGGCAAACTCTAATCTGGCCTTCCTGTTTTTGAGGCTCACCAATGGTTTATATCTTGTGCTGAACCCTCTGTATTCACTCTGGTGAAGTCTTCTCTTGATTGTTGACTTTGACACACATACACCTACCTCCTGGAGAGTGTTCCTGATCTGGCCAACTGTTGTGAAGGGTGTTTTCTTCACCAGGGAAAGAATTCTTCGGTCATCCACCACAGTTGTTTTCCGTGGTCTTCCGGGTCTTTTGGTGTTGCTGAGCTCACCGGTGCGTTCCTTCATTTTAAGAATGTTCCAAACAGTTGTTTTGGCCATGCCTAATGTTTTTGCTATCTCTCTGATGGGTTTGTTTTGTTTTTTCAGCCTAATGACGGCTTGCTTCACTGATGGTGACAGCACTTTGGATCTCATCTTGAGAGTTGACAGCAACAGATTCCAAATGCAAATAGCACACTTGAAATGAACGCTGGACCTTTTATCTGCTCATTGTAATTGGGATAATGAAGGAATAACACACACCTGGCCATGGAACAGCTAAGAAGCCAATTGTCCCATTACTTTTGGTCCCTTAAAAAGTGGGAGGCACATATGCAAACTGTTGTAATTCCTACACCGTTCACCCGATTTGGATGTAAATACCCTCAAATTAAAGCTGACAGTCTGCAGTTAAATTACATCTTGTTCGTTTCATTTCAAATCCATTGTGGTGGTGTATAGAGCCAAAAATGTTAGAATTGTGTCGATGTCCCAATATTTATGGACCTGACTGTATGCGGCACCATGGCAGTTGCAGATCAAACAGAGGCTAAAGACAGCTTCTTTGGCTGAAAAAGGAAAAGAAGGGTTAGTTCCACTTTAGTTCTGCATATGTGTCCATCAGAGAGATTTCCTATAGGTTCCTCATGCCAAAGGGTGAAAATAGAGAACCTCTTTTGTGTGCGTTCAGTAGGGCCAAAGACAGCAGGGAGAAGAGATTTATAACAGAACCATGCAAAAGTCTTAAAGTGGAACTTTACTCTTAACAAGTTGATGAAAAATTCTACATAATTATGCCACCAAAATTAGTGTGTGCTGTAAATTGCCTCCAGCTTTGTTCCGGTTTCTTCTTGATGGAGGCTGCCATTTTGTTGAAGCCCAGAGCCATGAGCAGCAGTTAAAGCAGAGCTAAACCCTCCTGTCCTTTTCATCCAAGGAAGCTGTTGTCTGATCTGCAACTGCCATGGTGCTGCACGTGTAATCAGCTATAACACCAGCCATGTGATGGTTTGACAGTTTGGTTGAGAACATAAATGTGACAGTTAACATAGCTGGCATGCCGAGAATGTAACCGTTTTTCGAAACTGTTAAATCGATGGTTTTAGTTCCACGTTAATCTTCAGACTGTCAGAAGATCAGCCTCTACAAATTCGGCAGTGCCTGAAAAGGGAGAGTAACTGAGCACGTGTAAAGCAGGGTGAGACAGTGTATTACTGGATTTTAACCACCTCCCGTCCAGCTGTTGTATATAAACAGCAGGATGGTGGCAGTGCAGGGTCGGGTGGCTGTTTATAAACGGCCTCCCCGCACCCTGCTTGTGCACGCTCCCAGGGAGCGCAGCACCGTGATCCGGTGCCCGCAGTGGAACACCGATCGGACGGGACCTCTGTGCGAGGTCCCGATCATGTGATCACTGATTGGCCAATCAGTGATCACATGCAGAGTAGTAAGCAAGATGTCACTTCTGACATCATTGCTTACTACATGTGAAATCTGTGAATGATCACAGAGATCACATGGTAAAAGGCTGACCAATCACAGCTCACTCCGCAGTTCTCAATGGCTGTAAGAATGCAGCTAGAGAGAAGGAGAAATTAGTGCTTTTACAGCCTTTATGGGTGTAAAAGCAATCCGAGACTGTATTGCTAGGGTAACAGTTATGGGGAAAAAAAAAAAAAAAAGTTTAAAAATTATAATTTTTGGTTATAAACTAATTTGGGTTATTTTTTTTTTAATAAAAAGATAATGGAATAAATTTTGGCCAAGATTTATGATGAAATACTATTTGCAAAAAACGAAAAACACTTTTTTTTTTTCTAAATTTTTGGACTTTTTCATAGCAAAAAAAATAAAAAAATTCCCAGTGGTGAATAAATACCACCAAAATAAAGCTTTATCTGTCTCAAAAAAATGCTAAAAAATTCATATGGGTACAGTGTTGCATGACCACGGAATTGTCAAAGTGTGATGGCACTGAAAGCTGAAAATTGGCCTGGACAGGAAGGGGGTAAAAGTGTCCGGACTGGAAGTGGTTAAACAGGCACTTAATGTTTTACATAGCTTTACTTGCAAAAGGGGCCAGCCTGAAAATGACCTAGCAAGACTTAATTTTCTGCCAAGAATCCACTTTAACCACTTAAGGACCGCCTTATAGCAGATATACTGCTACAGGGCGGGCGGCACCTGTGCGCAGAATCACATATAGACATACATACATATACATACACACACACATATGCGAATTACGCTCCCGTGGTTAGAGATACAAACACACACACACACACACAGTAAAAGAAATAAGTATTTGATCCCCTGCTGATTTTGAATGTTTGCCCACTCACAAAGAAATGATCGGTCTAAAAATCGAATGGTAGGTGTATTGTAACACAGAGACAGAATAGCAACAAAAATTCAAATGAAATGCATGTCTAACAAATTATGCACTGATTTGCATGTTCATGAGGGAAATAAGTATTTGATCCCCTATCATTCGGCAGGATTTCTGGCTACCAGGTGTCTTTCATACAGGTAACAAAATGAGATTAGCAGCACTCCCTTTAAGAGACTGCTTCTAATCTCAGCTTGTTACCTGTATAAAGACACCTGACCACAGGAGCAATTAAACAATCAGATTCCAAACTCTCCACCATGGCAAAGACCAAAGAGCTGTCCAAGCATGTCAGGGACAAGATTGTAGACCTACACAAG